GGCGGGAAAGGCCTGCCGGGGGGCTGCCCGCCCGCAGCAGGGTTTGGCGGCCGCGCGGGCGACGTCGAGGCCTTCTGCTCCCGCCTCTGCCGCCCGGCCGCGACACGGGGCTCGACTCTGCCTTGTCTAGACTCTAGCATGGCAAAGCCGCCTATTAATTTTTATCTTCTTTTCTTACAGTAAAAAATGGCATTTCGGAAGGCAGTAAAAGGAACTGTTCTCATTGGAGGAGGTGCCATAGCAACAGTTTTTGGCCTCTCTCAATTTTCTCAGTATAGAAACAAACACGTAAGTATTAATTACGATTTCTGATAAAATATGAAACTTAAAATCTGTTTGAGCGTATGTTAGGCTTATACAAATAGTTTTGTTTGGGAAGGAATGCCAAGAGCCTCTCAGCTTGATTTGGTAGGTACAAATCTAGAGGACAGCATTAAAGGATGTTTTGCTAGTGTAGATTTTAAAGCAGTACAGGATGATTCTTGTAAATCATATTTAATGTTTTTGCTCAAAAAAAGACCTTTGTATAATGCTGTAATAATACTGTATAATACTGGAACTGTTACTTAGTTGCAGGAAGAATGTAGCATATTAACTGAAATATAAATAGTAAATTGAGTTTGAACAGTGTTTTTGAACTTGCCAGCTTGAAGTGAAGCCCCTAACGCTACCTCAGAAAATCTTCACTTCAACAGTAATTGCTACAGCTCCTTGTTTGGAGGCAAAAAGTGATTGATCTAGGATGGGATCCCTTCCCAGTGAAGCGAGTGGAAGGGCTCCTGCTGGGCACGGGTCCCCGGGCATGGGTAGCTCCAGCTGGGGCTCAGTCCTGGCTCTCAGGTGATGAGGACATGCTGATGAGAAACTCACAGGGAGGTAGAGGGTGGTGCCAAAAACACTGCTAAAGTGAAATAGTGATGGCAGAAAGGTGCAGGAGATGCTGTTTCAGCCTGGACTGGTTTGTACTGTCGTAGCAAATAATTTCCCTTTGCATAGCTGCTCCCTTTGGCAGAAGCAGAGGAGCTGCCTTCGCCCCCAGGTGTGTTCCCAGCACAGAAGCCAAGGGCCAAGGGGTGAGAGGAGGCCGAGGGTAACGGGCTGGTCTCGGGCAGAGCTGGCACTGATCAACAGCTGCTCTGGCTTGGAGCAAATACAGACCCATTATGTTTGTACAGTTGTGCTTAGCTTTAGGGCCATAGAACAATCCCGTCTGGGCTGAATAGATGTGCGTGTAGGAATATGCTCTCTGTCCTTGTGTGTAGGCTCCGCGGCCGGCCCTTCCCCTTTGGCCACAAGCCGTTGGCACGAGCGCCGCGTGAGCCGTTCCGTGCGGGCAGGTGGTGCCTCGGGAGCGCGGAGCCTCCGCGCTGCCGTTGGGTTTGCAGACGGAGCTTGCTCCCTGCAAGGGCCACCTCCTCCCCTGGGGACGCGCTCGCCTTCCGGAGCCGCCTGAGCGGGCGCCAACTCTGGGGGTTTTCTGTTTCCCGCTTCCCAAATGCAGTCGGCTCTTTGTCCTCTCTGTGAGCTGCTTACTTAGCACACGTTTACTGTGTGCTGCTGTCCAAACTGGGCACACTTCAAACAGGAGTGGAAGTGGATCCGGCCATTCTAGATCAAGAAAAACGGGCAGGGGTGGCGGGCAGTTTCTGCTTCGCTCCGGAGAAGGGAGCACGTATTGCTGCTCTCAATAAGTGCGAATGTGAAACTCGTGGCTGCTTCGCGCGGAGGAGGAGCAGCAGCTGAGGTAGTGGCAACGCGAATGAGATGACTCACTGCTGGGGAACCTAGCCGGAAAGCAGAGGAGCCAGGATCCTTGGAGCTTCAGATATTCTGTTGCAGAAAATAAAATCTAGCATTTTAAGTGAGCTCCCCATTCAGCCGCCTGTCTTACACCTAGCTGGTATTACTGCTTCTAGCTCCCGCTGGGATCCTATCCAAGACTTTATGGCCTGGCCTCATTACTGTCAAAATGAGAGCCTCAAAGTTCAGAACCTTAAATAATAAGCGAAGGAGTTGGAAGGGAAAACAGACCTGGATGACAGAAGTGTCCTCACAACTGACTTGCTGTATGTGTAGGGTTCCGGAACTCAGAGAATCCCCCATTCGCTGTTGTTAGTGGATTGTCATTATGAATTTCCTGAGCAATATTAAAAAAAAAATGATTATAATGTCAAAATGAAATACTGATTGCCCCCCATTTCTGAGTCTATTGTGTTGTGCAGAGTCAGTTTACAAAGGATCTGTGCAAACTTCCAGCATATGTATAAGCAAATGGATCTGTCAAGTGAACAGCATGTTGTTTTCATGTTGTACTAACTTACACATTTCCCATGTGATGTCCCTTAAAGCTGCTCCTTAAACACCTAATATAGGGCAGCAGGTGGAACATAACTGGAGGGATTGACACAAAGGAGGACAGTCCATTTGTAGTGTTGACATATCTAAGCTGTGGGCATGTCCCCCAGCCCCAGTGTCCTCTTTTTAATAATGCCTGCCAATCAAACGTGTGCTGGGGCAAAGATCTTGTCTTGCAGTGCCAGGGAAGGACGTTGCCCCGAGACGTGCACTAATTGGCTACGCGTTGCAGGAAAGCCGTGGTTATTTCAGGAGCAGGATCCGTCGCACAAGACGGGAAGGTAGCGCAGGGAGATGGCGCGCTGGCGCTGCCTTCCCCGTGGTCAGGGTGTTTGCTGCCCCGCTGCAGCTCTGCGTGCTGGAGCTCCTGGAGCCCGGGCACCACAACACCCGTGGGTTAATGATCTTCAGGGCACGATATAGCTGGTCTGGCTTGCTCTGCTCCCCGTGTTCACCCAGCAGGCGTTGGATGTGTCTGTGAAGCACTCGGCTGCCCTGGGTAATTCCAGGGAAAAAGCTAAAGCATTTTTATTTTCCTCATGTAGTATAAGCACACACATTATATATATATATGCTGACATTTTGGAGCATACTTTTGCAACAGCAATTGAGGTAATATAACCAAAGAATATGTATGTATATGCAGCTGTAAAGCAGCTTAGTAAATTGCCCTAATTTGTGTGTTGTTTTTCGGATGCACATGGTTGAGAAAAGAGAGGATGGCAATGTGCTGAAATGACAGAATTCTAGTTGAAATTAATTCATAAGCTGGTAGATGAATATTGCACTTGTGTCCTGTATAGTGACCTGATCACTGAGATATTTACTGAATTACTGAATAATAAGGTGTATTCACTTAATAGCGTGCTGTAAGGGAGCAAGCAGAAATGACACTAATTCAGGCAAAATCCCTTTCTGTAAACACACAGTTGGTTTTTCGTATCGAATAACTATTAGCCTTAAGGAAGGTGGCTGAGCATTTGGTGCAGCCTTGCTGACTTGTGCTGCTGAGGGCAAGTGGTTGGATTTAAAATAAAGACTTTGCCTAGATTAAAAAGAAAAATCTCTTTTCAGAGAAAGGGAAGTGTTTTGGGGACCCTTTACAGCTGGTAGTGCAAGTGTCTAAAGTGCTTAGTCTCTTCTGAACTGCTTTCAGATAAATGTAATTCTCCCTCTTGTTGTTATTGAATCAAGATGATGAATTTTGCTTTGCAGACCTACCTGGAGATTAATGCTGGCCAAATTAACAAGAATGTGTGTTTATGGATTACCAAATTGCTTTATAACTTCGTGACTGAATTCAAACCGCCAAACTGAATCTGTTCTTGCTAAGAGCGTGATCATTCGAGGAACTCTTGCTGGAGAAATTGTAGATATAAACAGCAATTGCTTATTTCAGTAAACATATGTGTGCACTGCCAAACTAGTCGCGTTGTTGCAGATGGGATCCTGGTATGCAGCTCTTCAGTCTCACGTTTAATTGACGGCGCGATGACTCATATCTGTATCAATTCCTAGGGCACCGATCACTGTGCTCCAGTCTGAGTCTCTCGTGTGCCACGTCTGCTCCTGGTGCACCCGTGTCTACGGCCTGGGGACTCTGATCTACCTTTTACTGGGGACAGTTTGTTGTAGGTGATGCTTTAAAAAAAAAAAAATCATGTTAAGCCAGTTGATGTTAGTATTTCTTCGGTTCCTTTTTTTTTTTTTTTGTATTTTAATATTCTTTTGAAGTTAGGTTTAATTCTTTGAAATTGATTCATTTCTTTTGCTGAAGAGAGTGTTTGCAAGTTTAATGTAAAACTAACTTTAGAGGTGGTAACTATATTAAAAAATAAATAAATAAAGCTGAGGCTTCCCAGCTGAACGGGGAAATACTTGCGGCTTAGTCTTGCATGTGTTCTGGTCGATGAGTCTTTCAAATTTCATTCTTGTTACTGTTATCCGCTGTTTACGTGCTGGTATTTAGGGAAACTAGGAAATTAGAATCGGTTGTTGTATGTAATTATACAACAGTAAGAAGCCTGTTTAATGCAGCAAATTGCTGAAGGAGCAGCAGAGAGGGCAGGAAGCCAAGCAGTGCCGCTCGCCGCTGCCTCGTGTGCGTGGCCGGCCGGCCCCGGCGCTCGGGGGAGCCCCCGGCACTCAGGTGCCGCTTGTCCCGCTGCCGTGCAGGAGCGGATGCGCCGCCGGGATGCACCACCGGGATGCTCCTCCTGCAGCTGCTGCTTCCCTGCTTTCTGTGCAGCTCCCCAGAAAGTCCCATTCCAGAGCTGTGTTGGAGGGCAGAGCCCTGGGAGACGGGAACGCTGCTGCCAAATGCTGGTGGGTTGGGGAAGGAGCAGCGCGAGGTCCTGGATTTGCTGGAAATGGGAGGAATTCATTGATCGGGAAAGTGGTGCAAAACTACGTTTATTGGAAGTGCCAAGATTTTTACACCCTATTTGGTGAACGCTGCCAGCACGTACACATTAATATGTAAGCGTATTGGAGCAAAGAGAATTAAATTTGGAGGTTAATCAGGGTTCACCTGCAGTTTCCATTTGCCTCAGCCTTGTGCGTGTTGCGTAGCGCCTTGCCCGCCTGCCCGGTTTGAGGACTGCACTGCGCATGAACAGCTTTACAGCGAGAATCAGCAACCCCTGTAGTTGTAATGTGGCCAAAGAAGGAGCTGAGGATCCTATGTGGAATCATTGGGGATGCACGAGCGCCCAAGGCGAGGGGAGGCTGCCTGCACGTGGCCGTTGCTGCGCGTTGGCCCTTGCGGGAGCAGGAGCCAAGGGCGTTGGCCCTTGCTGTGCATGGGTGCACGGTGGGAGCCACGTGCTGGCCCTTGTAGTGGTGGGAGCCATGTGTTGGACCTCGCTGTGCGTGGGTGCCTGGCGGGAGCTGCGCGTTGGTGGGAGCAGCACATTGGCCCTTGTGTTGGCGGGAGCAGCGCGTTGGCCCTCGTTGCGCATGGGTG